TAAGGAAAAAAAAAATCTAAAGAAGTTGAGAAAAGGGGGAAGGTAGAAAATAAAAATTCACATTTGCTAATTTTGAGACTTCTTTCTATCATCGACAAATATACATGGATCACTCATTTCAGACTCTGCTTTTTCTACACTTCCCCTTATTTGAGTCTGTAATTAAGTGAATTGAGGCTCTAAATTCCTTTGTACTACTTAGTAAGCACATCAATACCATCATAATTGTAACTGAAAATTATACAGCTTTAACTCCCTCTGATCCCTCTTCTATAATGATATATATACTAAGGAAAGCTTATATGATAGATTGGCATTATCAATCAATCAAACAATTTAAATAACGGTCATATTTAAGCAAAATACTTTTGCAAAGTTGTAATCCAAAAATATACATGGGTTTTACATGTGTTGATTGTCCTCTAATCAAAGAATATTTTTTTTAAGTTTGTTTATTTTTGAGAGACAGAGAGAGAGAGAGAGAGAGAGAGAGAGAGAGCGAGCAGGGGAGGGGCAGAGAGAGAGGAAGAGAATCCCAAGCAGACTCCAAGCCCAGCACAGAGCCTGATGTGGAGATTGATCTCAGGAACCACAAGATCATGACCTGGGCTGATATAAGAGTCAAAGGCTTAATCAACTGAGCCGCCCAGGCACCCTTCTAAATCAAAGAATATTTAAACTACTGATTATTTTATAAAATTTCTGAATATAATTATACCCAAGATTCATATTTATAACTCACAGTTTACAAGGAAGAGAAGGTAATTGTTATATCTGCTTTACTAAGGTGAACAAACTTAGTGCCAAAAATAAAACTCTTATTAAAAAATAAATTTTGAGCAATGGGTGTTGTATGTAAGCGATGAATCATGGGAATCTACCCCCAAAACCAAGAGCACACTATACACACTGTATGTTAGCCAATTTGACAATAAATTATATTTTGAAAAATTAAAAAAAAAATATGTTAATAACACCCTGATAATTTCAGTTTACAAATTTTAAGTATTATTTTCAAGAATTTAATATAGAGAAAACCAAAGTCTCATTAAATTTTCTCCCAGACACTCATTTAGAGAATTTTTTCTAGGCCTAATGGTATAGTACCATACTTTCTTACCTCTAAGATTTGAAGCACCATTTAAAAATAGATAGAAATACTCCTCCCAAGAAAATTATATAGGTTAATTGTAAGTTTTTATGCATGAATATATCTCTGGGGAAAAGGGAGAACAGAAATAGGAAAGAAGATACATCAATGAATGAGCCACCCTTGGGCCTTTCCCTCAAATATATTAATTTTATATAGCTCTGGTAACATAATCATTTTTTTAAATTTGTACTTCAAAAGATTTTGAATTTAGGTGAGAACAGGGCTGAGATTTAGAGAAGTTGCCAGCAGTGTCCTAGCATCTTTTTGGTGACCACAGCTCCTGATGGAGCACCATTATTCATCCCTTAAGAAAGGGTTTCTCAACAAGGGAACACCAGATCATTCTTTGCTGTGAGAGACCTCCCTGCTCATTTTAGTTTAGAAAGCACCCTTGACCTTCCACACTAGATGCCAGCAGTGTCCTGCCTTCCCAGTTGTGACAACAACATCTCCAGATATTTCCAAATATCTCCATGGGGCAAAATAAACACTGCCTCCTTTCCAAACCACCTCCCCCATCACACTGAAAACCATTGCCCTAAATCAAAAGAGTAGGATTTTCTCGGGTATTTCCAAAAACATGGATGGACCTTGAGAGCATTATGCTAAGTGAAATAAGCCAGACAGAGAAAGACAAATATTGCATGATATCACTATTTTGTGGAATTAAAAAAAAATACACATAGAAACAGAAGAAAATTGGGTGCCAGGGGCTGGAGGTAGGAGATACAGGGAGAAGCAGGTAAAAGAGTACAAACTTTCACTGTAAGATAAGTTCTGGGGATCTCATGTAAAACATGATGAAAATAGTTGAGAACACTTATTGAATAATTGAAATATACTAAGAGAGTAGAATTTAAGTGTTCTCTCTCTCTCTTACACACACACAAAGCAGGATTTTCAGTGATTCAACATGTTATGACGTTACAAATTTTTTCTCTGAAGTTTACATTCATATTTTAGCTAACCTAAAAACATATGTACTGCTTTTATTAGGGTTAATCAATCAAAACAATAACAAGTTCAATTTTTTTCCAGTTATTACATGTCACTTTATATGGAAAATCTGGAGCAAAGATATCACAATACTTTTAACTATCTACTTTCCTTTAAAAACAAATACAGAATTAATATATTTTTGTCATATTGATAATGGCAATGATTAGGCAATAAAAATAATTAATTTAGTCTAAAAGCACAAACAATTGTAAAAGCAAGGATGTTAACTCCCAAACCTTAATTTACTATGCAGCACTTTTACTCAAGAAATTCATCAGTTTCCCAGAAAGAAATGAATATCAATCTAACATTTTCCAAATTAGTGCTACTTCTTTTCTCATGGACATTATGGTTAACATAATACAGGGATACAGTTTAAAGGAAAAACACACTACACAGCACCACGTCACATCTCTCCCTCTTTTTATTTTTTTGCTTTGGGGTCTTGGGGTATTATAAATACCATGACCTGTTGCAGAGATATTTTTTTCCCCTCCCTGCAAGTTTTAATGATAAATGTGGAAAGCTTGGCCAGCTGTTTTAGGCTAGTCAGTGCATCAGAAAAGGGAAGGCAAGGCTGTAAGAAGATGCACCAGGAAAACAAAGAGGAGAAAGGCCCACCTCCTGAGAATGGCTCTCGGAGGCAATTGTAAGCCAAAGGAGAAACTGATAAAACCATAAATGTTTGTAGACAAAAATGAGGTAGGAAATTGGGCAAGACGTGGGAAAGGCCAAGAGGTCTGTTATCCTAAGTAGTGATTTATTTTCCTTTTTCTTTTCTTTTCTCTTTTCTTTTCTTTTCTTTTCTTTTCTTTTCTTTTCTTTTCACTTTTCTTTTCGTTTCCTTTTTTCTTTTTTCTTTTTTTTCTTTTTTTTTAAGTTTATTTAACCTTAAAAAACCATGAGATCATGACCTGAGCCAAAATCAAGACTCAGTCACTTAACCGACTGAACCACCCAAGCGCCCCCCAAGTAGTACTTCTTAAATTTATTGTGCTCAACAACTACCTGGGGACCACATTAAGATGCAGACTCTGATTCAGAAAGTCTGGAGCAGGACCTGAGGGTCTGCATATCTAAGAATCTCTGGGGGATTGATATTGCTGGGTGGTGCATGTCCCACACCTTATGTAGTAGAGTTCTAGAACATTCCTCCCCACCCCCAACATATCTCTGGAAGTAGAAGTGCCAATTTTGTTTCATCGCAAAATCTGTAAGATTCACAAGGTAAAATGAATTCATTTATACAGTATTCTCCCTAAATTCTTAATATATAGAAATATGTTTTCTTTATACCTTCTTTAAAGGAAAACATGAGATTGTTGCTTTGAAATATGAGTTAATTTCTTATTGACTTTTTTAAAGCATATATAAGTAGCTATTAGTAAAATGTCACTGTGGTTTTTGCTTTTCATATATCCTTGGGTAGCATGTTTTTGTGGTAGATGCTCTGATGAAGTAATGAAAAAGTCAAATTGATAAAATCAGAATTAAAATTAGGCTTGATTTTAGGATGATTAATTTTAAATGAGTTTTCCAGCTCAATCCAGAATTTTGATTCACTGTTCAGAACTACCCAGGATGTTCTTTTATCCTAATCATTTGATTCCGTTTACACCTATGGGAAAACCAAATCCTGGCTTACTTCATACTCTCCCCTCCAAAGCAACTAACCAAGTCCTGATTATGTGATAGGTTTTGGCATTGTGTCAATGTCAAGGTGTACCAGGAAGAGAAGCAGATTCAAAGATGACAGATAGATGAAGTATCCCTGATGTAAAACATCCGCTGGTGAAGAAGAAGCTGGTAGTACCGTAAAAATCAGTATGTTTAGGCACAAAAATCTAAAGACTGAATACCGATACAAAGTGGAAGTAATTATAATCTCTTTGAAAAGAGGATGAGAGTAGGAGAAGAAATACACAAATTTGTTTCTCTCACAAGTATTTCAAAATAGCATTTTGCATTTTCCACAGTCTATACTTGGAAACAAGGCATATTTAGGTACTTATTACACAATTTTCTAAGAACAAGAATTTTCTAAATGTGTGTGATCTTTTTTTCTGAAAAACAAAAAGAAAGAAAAGAAAAGAAAAGAAAAGAAAAGAAAAGAAAAGAAAAGAAAAGAAAAGAAAAGAAAAGAAAAGAAAAGCAGTAAAGTCTTATCAGAAACATTTGGGTCACAAACATACCGTACACTTGAACGATCTTTGTCTCACTGGCAAAATACTAAAGGTATGTGAAGAGTTTAAAATTTAAAAGTAGCCAAATTTTTTTTCTAAATAAAATTCCCCAGTCTTAAGCTGATGCAAACATGATGCAGACATTTTAAGCAAAGACATTAAGGCAATGTGAAGAAATTAAGAAATAAGGACAAATAAACAGACAAATCAAAGGTTCATATAGTTGACAAACATATCCTCCTTGGAACAGTCACCAAGGTGGCTTTTAAGGCTACACCTCTGCAGTTCTCCAAATACACGCTTTATACATTACTTGAAATTTGAAATGTCTTCTCAATTCACCTATTCTGATCACATCACACAAAAAAATTTTAGATGATCACCTTTAGATCTTCTACATAATGCCAGTCATAATTAGAAGGCTTAATTAGCACCATCAAGCAATTGGTAAATTCAGAAGAAACAAATAAAACTTCAAAATTTTCAGTAGTTCCATTGTACACAAATATCAGGCTGTCTTAGTCCATGTATTGAATCTACTGATAAAATTAACTTGTCACCAGAAGTACAGGAGTTCCTTTCAGAGAACATACCAATAATTCCTTCTATTCTTTAAGAGACAATGCACAGAATGATATTCCCTTTCAATAGTTTACCAAACTCACCCCATGTGATGGATAAGAGATCCAGCCCAGCTCCCCTTGAATTGTTTTTGAATCCAGTAGATTGACTAAAAAAAACACAAAAAACACAAATATACAAATATAGTTAAGAGAAATAAGTTATTTCTATTTGCCTCTGTCAAGTTAAAGTTGTCTGTTGTTATTGATATAACAATATTAACATGTTCAAAACACATGACTCTTTCTTTCTGTTATAGGAATATGAGAGAAAAAGAAGAAAATGGCAAAATAAAAGCAATCATAGGGAAAGCCAAGGAATCAGATTTCTCTGGCTTTTTTTAACTGTCTTGTTTATAAAGGTAGATCAATGTTCAAAATATTGATAATAATTTTTGACAAAATAATTACAGGTTTAAAGAAGAAACAGCAAAAATGCAAAGCAGGAACATTAATGCTAACATGGTATCAAAATAACTTCAAAGACCATTAATTTTGACAAATTTACATATGATTTCACTATGAACAAATTTCTTAAATATGCTCCCATGATGAATCAATATCAGTTTGTGTCTGATACGACATCTTTATATTGCCTCTGTCCAATATGAAGCAGAGGATTCTATCATGTGTATTTTCTAATACCATACAAATTGTCTACCTCTGTGTAACAAACAAAATGCTTAACTAATAATTTCAGGAGAAGCCAAAACAATACTATGTTTTATAACACTGCCTGGAATAAGCTATTGTTATTTAGACAAAGTACTGTTACCCAAAGGCTTTAATGATTTTATTCAGAACTTTGCACTAGTTATTAAAAAGTCTGATGAATAATAAGATTAATAATAACATTAATGCGGTTGCATTTTGAATATATTATTAAAAGAAAGGCAAATCTTTTCTTTCTAACACAGAGGGCATTAATTTGTAATGGACTAGAAATTAAAATATAAAAAGATACTTCAAGTCTAATTAATAACGAAAGGCTCACTTTGTTGATCTATTAAACAATGGAAACTAATGCTTTCACCTCATCCTTGTTCTAAATCAGAAAGCAATCCCACAAGTGACTAAGGGAAGATGTGGAGGAAATTTACACAAAATAGCCATGTATTATTAGAGCCATTGAATCACTAAATACAATCAGAAATCATTTTTAGGTTCCATATATACATGAATCAAAACATGACAGTAGTACATGGCACTGCACGACAGGTCCACGTGTTGTCAATAAAGTATTTCCTTATACACAAAAAATACTACCATTTAATCACCCCAGATAGGAAACATTTAATCTTATAAAATGTTAAAGAAATAATATATTTGACAGATATTATAATTCTGAATTTTCAAGCCCTGCTTTTTTAAAGGAGGATATTTGGTTATCTAGATGAGTATTAAAAAATCGTCCTGATTATTAAGTTAGAAGACATAAAATTCTCAAAGTTAGAATCTCTAAGTTTTGTGCAAGTGCAAGAAAAACGCATAAACTTAATTACACTAGAAATCCTTAAAGATTTTTTTCTCTCAATAAATTAATCCCAATGAGAAGTAATTATATTTAGATAAGAGAAGACAGTTGCTGCATGGATTACATAGTGCAATTTCCATAATGGTATTATTTCCCAGGATATCAGTTTGGAAATGAACAGTATGCTTAATTATACTGAAATTATCTGTCAAAAATGATTTTTAAAAATGCTTTACTGATTAATCAGTGTTATACGCAATATTTCAGATTAATCAATGTTAGAAAATGTTTGAAAATATAAGAATACATTTTCACCTTCAGATTAAAGTATTTTACCAACGTTCATTCTGATAAAGATATGTTCTACTCACAAAGTCTAGTTGGACAGCTCTATCAGACATCAGTTCATTTCTCTGAGTTTTACATATGATTTGCATAGAGTTTACAATACCAGCATTCATAAATCATTAGATCATATTTGCAATGCCTTGAGGGGTTTAAATGGTTCAATGTATTTGTGTGTGTGTGTGATAATTGAATATGTACTAACTGATGAATATGTGTCACTCAATATGTTAAGATAAATGGCTGACTTAATTTCAATATTAGTAACCAGAGGGAAGAACTGTTTGAGGCAAAGAAAATATGATTGTTGTCTCCATTTAGTAAAATACTCATTGGAATGTAGGCTGTTAACTAAAGAACTAAATACCCTTAAGTTTTCTCTGATGATAATGAGGGAAGAAGGGCACATCAGCATTTGGTGTCTACTCAAAAGAGAATAGCAAAACCAAAGAGAATTGGATCACATTGCTGATTAAAATAAGTGTAATGGATTAATTAAATTTGTTGCATTTACCCAGAAATGGAATTTTTAGTGCACTCCATTTAGCATGAATGAGGAAAACACAATAGCATCATTACTCATGATTCTGATTCTGTTGTCTATCAAACATAATTACATCTGCCCTGGTTATCTCACAATGTTTCTGTGATGATCAAATAATATAAATGTATTTAAAATCACCATGAGATTATAACGTGCTGTACAGATTCAATGTTCGTGTAAAATTAATACCTTAACTAACAACCATACCATTTTGGCTTCTGAATTGTATTTATAACCAATCATGGATATATAACCTAATAGAAAAGAATAGTGACCTCAAAACACTTTTTAAAAGCATTTATTTTTGAGTTTACATGGTGTCTTTTGTTTATAGCCAAATCAGAAAAGCAGAATCTAAGAATACAGTCACTCTAAAGTGAATAATTGCTAAACTGGGACTTCCCAGGATATAAGCTCAAGTCTCCTGTGATCTGTTGTGCAGCAATCTCAGTGCAGCATAATTGAAATAAGAAAAAGAGAAAGTTAATGGAATTTGAAAGTCAACGTGTTGTGAGTGATTTCTCTCGATCCATTGACTAAATCCAACATTGCAATATAGTATATTGAACCTGACACTGAATCGGGCAAGAACTTCCATTACTAATGTTTTTTCTCTCCTAAAATAAAAGTAGATTTGATCATAGCCTTTCAGGTGGTGCCACTATACAAATGTCAGAGCACATGGAAGAAGCAGAGAAAATTGTGATGTACGATTATATTCTAGTCTTTTGAGTTTTGATGATGATTTGCAACATGGAAGGTTTATTTCAACTGTTGAAAAAACCCTGAGTCCATAATTATGAATTTTAACAACAACAAAAAAAGTTAGGAAGTTATTCTTAAACTCAGATGGGGAAGTGGCTTAATTCTTTAATAACTGCCTCGTGCCACATTATTTTTCAAAGATATAAACTGTTCCTTACCAGTTTTTATATTCTAAATGGTACGATCACCAAATATTTTTGTTTGGTAACAGGAAACACGTCATTTCATTAATTTCAGAATATTTTCTATGCAAAGGTCCATATGGTATATGGACATATTTCTTAAATCAAAGCGATTTGAACTGGACACATTTTTAAATGTTCTGACTCTGAGCTGAGATATAAATCAGTGCTTTTTGGAAAAACTGTATTTGGAAATAACTGAGCAAAGTCTGGATGGATATGGTTCTGGGTTTCCTTCACATGCTTTACTCTATTCTTGCTCTTAATCAGACAATATTTTATTGTAAATCTTATTTTAAATGTGAACGGGTATCCATTCATGAAAACCATAAGGGAGTCCTTGCTCAAACTCATTGAGTTGGCTTTCGGGTGGACACTAATTTGAGATTTGCTGAACAAAAAAGGAAGCATGGTCTCTGATGGGAATTAGAAAGGGTGGAATGGAGTACAGGAATAAGAACAACATAAGAATAGAGAAAGTTGGCTCAAATTGGTGTCACTACTTCTATCAAAGAGGAACCCTTGCTGTCATTCCTGCCACTGATCTTTACTGTCACTTTTCCCACTCAGCTGGACTGTAGATTTAAGATGCACAGGAGTCTTGTTCTCTCTCCCTTTCCTATCCTTCATCATAACAGAGAGACAACCAAATGTTCGCTCCTTTTTCATTTGAATTAACAACGTTATAAAGAATCTTCTGTACCAGGAACTTATTCCTCCTTCCCTTCTTAATAATAATTCGGTAAGATGATTTCAAGGACTCAATTATTGAAATAAGTATTTTCAGTAAATATTACTTGTTAGGACGGATTAATTTTTTTAGGTATAAATTTCTGGAGTTTTCACTCTTAGAGAATCGTTAAAGAAGACTTTTTTCAAGGGCATTTCAAAGTTCTGATTCATGTGCCTATGTGTCCGCTTGGAAAGACTGAGAATTAAACATTCACATCTTGTAGATTGTTTAAGTGCTGCAAATATGTAGACAGTGCTAAAATAATATTTAAAATTAAATGACAATTTCTTACTGAAGTGGAAGACGTTTTCAATTATCTAATAACACATCACTATGCTTTGTAGTAATGCTATTTGCATTTTATGAAATGTTAGTTGCATTTTATGAAAATATTGAGCTATAAAAACTATCAAATAATTATTTCTGAGGGAGCAGAGGACTTTAATGGCTAAAGAATTTCAGACTCTGACAATAATAAACATGTTTTCTTCTAAAACTTTCAGTTAAAGTGCCTTTAAAGACATTTGCAAATAACTATAAAACCACTACAACAGAAAACAAACCCATCTCTTGATTATGTCTTGCATTTACTGAAGAAAAATGGCATTTCCTTTTCTGTTCACACCATCACTTTCATCGTCCCCAGCCACATTTCTTGTGCACTTCTTATCATTTTCATCACTTTCTGTTAGGATAGAAGGGGTAGCTTTGCTCTAGTTTACAGATAGCAGAGGGGTCCTTTAATCTGCTTACAGGTTGCAGATTATAGAAGATGATAGAGAAAGTGATAAATTTTATTCTGGGTGTTGTAAATCTCGGCTGTAGGACTCTGGTCAACCGTAACATGGAGTGAAGAAACCAAGATGTATGTTCTCACAGAAGCTCACCAAACCTCAGCTTTTCATTTTATTGGACATACCAGGATATGCCATTGAGAAGAAATTTAGAGAAGTCAAAGTTGGATTAATGTACTTATGTATTTCAACACTGACTTTATCTACTGTGATTATATACTCTTAAGAGCTCCCACAGGCTTCCTGTTTATATTTATTTCTACCTAAATATAA